ATCAAGCTGGAAGATTCTGTAGTATCCGACAAATAACATTTACATGTGATTTTATTCGAACAGATGAATGTAGATAGATAGATAGATGAAGAAGATTTGTAGCTCAGGTGGTTGGTTTAAGTGTATTTGTGTTCTCTGATCTGGATCGCTTACTTGAGAAGCTTTCATTCTCTTACTAGGCGAAATTCAGCATTTTAGAACTTAGTTCATTTAGCAACAAGTCGTGATCATCACAATAGATTGACTCATGTCTGTTCGGATTATATAAACATCATAACACTTGATTATGTGTCGATGTGTGTCAGTAATTTAGTGGAAGAATGGTCTGCAACCATCCACATGGTACGGGGTTTGATTCCTAGATGATTCACTCTCAAAGCTTGCTTAGTCGGTAGTAAGCCAGGTAGAGAGGGAAGAATGAACGTGAGGCTAATGACGTCCTCCCATGATGACAACACAATTGCTAATGGAACTTCAAGCTCTATTTTCCACACGAAAGCCAAAAGGACGTTAAGGGAAAACAGACGTAGCACATAACAAGAACAAATTGAAGAGTAAAAAACGGCCATAACTTTGTAAGATAATAAATGCGGAAGTCAATAATCTCAAAGTTCGCAGCAATGTCGTACTTTACGGCATGATGACAATCCATGTTAAACAATCGATGAATCAGCGACATCAATTTTTCCTCCAAATGACGGAATCACAACTTAATTTAGTATTTATAGCGGTTGGCATTGATTATTTAAGACAAATAAGGCTCTTCCCTACTCACCAGTAAGATATTACAATTTTCTGTTGGTATACCACATAGTTAGAAAGTTAGTGACCTCTAGTTGAAGTTCCGCCATGATACTGACTTTTAAATAATAGAGAAGATTTGTAGCTCACGTGCCCATGCTTATTTTTGCTTTCATCGAAAGAAGGCACATCGGCTGACTGGCTTCCCGAAGGCTTTCACCAGCTTGCGTCATTTCACTTCCCCGATTCCAGCGAAAAATAAGGTTATTGTTTATATCTTTAGTATTTTTAATGTATTTGTGCGTTGAAGTTTCTGTGGCAATTTGGTTAAGTTTTGGGGATGGAGTTGCTAGCACCACGTCCCAATCCTCCTTCTTCATCCGGGCTTGGGATGGGCTAGAAAACTAGTTAGCTAGTAATCTAGGCGAGGCGAGTGGGACGTCCAAGGGTGACATGGAGGAGATCATGTGAAGAGGAGTTGAAACAGTATGGAATAACATGGATGCAGGTGAAAAGTACGGTAGAAGACAGAAGCAAGTGGAGACGGGCATTTGAAGCCTTATGTTCCACTAGGAACCCAAGGGAACAATAATAATAATAATTTGTAGCTCAGGCGGATGATATTGAATTAGTTGTGTTCTCTGGGGAGTTGGTTGATTCAATTGTGAAGCTTTCGTCGGCCTTCTAGATAACATCTTTAGTGCACGTTTTAGGTTTTATATGCTATAACTGGCTCTGAAGATATTGTCTAGATGGCCGACGCAAACTTCACAATTCAGTCAACCAACTCCTCAGAGAACACAACTAATTGAATAAGGTATTGACTTTTCCCTTCGTCATTCGATGGCTCAACGGAAAAAGGTTTACCAACCATTCAGGTGACCTGGATTTGAACCCCGACTGACTGACTGACTGACTGACTGACTGACTGACTGACTGACTGACTGACTGACTGACTGACTGACTGACTGACTGACTGACTGACTGACTGACTGACTGACTGACTGACTGACTGACTCCTAAATCTCTTCTAGCATTCTAGCCGATAATAAGCACTGAAAAGAGGGGAGGTTCAATGTGAGACTAGAGACTCCAGCCAATAGAAAAAGAACAACATCACCGCTACTGACACCTTAAAGCTCAAGTTTGAGGTCCTGTTTCCTACTCGAAAGACAAAGGGACGAAGAAAGACTTTCCTTGAACACAAATTATCATTCTTGTTTATGATCAGATCATTTATTGAGACTTCTTTGTAAACTAATTAGTATTCAGAGGATATATGACAAACCAAATGCATCACTAATCAGTTACTTTTAGAGGTTTATAGGCGTGTGTGTGTGTGTGTGTGTTAGGCTGATTAATTACTGGAGAAATAGATCAGTTTTTGATCTGGTAATACTTATTTATGTCTTCATCTAACTGTCTGAATGCAAAAAGTGACGTTTACAGATGCTGATTACAATCCTCATTGGAACAGTCTTTGAAATATCTCATACTGTAAAGCATAATTTACAGTCAATCAAATATTCTCATGGGTAAGATTAAGTTTTAAAAAGCATTTTTTTTCTTCACAGGTATAAAACAATAGAGGAGGGATATAAAAAAGGGTAGATGTGTCATATTTCAACTAGATATGCGTAATTATCAAGGGAGGAATCTCCTCTAGACTATTTACTTATTTATAGGTCTGTTCAAAGTAGGCACACATATGAAATTCCCTAAGGACTTTCACAACAGAAACCTCAGCATTTGTTTTCTTAATGCAAGTAGTTTTATGGTTTAGAGTAGCTCTGATGATCTTTACAAGTGACTGTAATATACACATATACATACATTTATCGATCCATTCACCTCAACACTGAAATATCCATTGTCCTTTCCTTCATGCCATACATATGAATATCGGGTCCTAGTGGCTTAATGACCTACCAGCTCCCTAGCCTTGTGACCAGAAGGTCCTGGGCTCGAACCCTGGCAGTGGGTGCGTACTGATGGAGAGTCCCAAAAAGACTAGGACGAAACAGCTGTCCAGTAATCCCTGCAAGTTTTCCAATGGTTCTCTAACCAATGTCAGCTCATGATGAAATCCTGTAACCAATCAAATCCCTACAAACCAACACTTATATATAAGATAACTGTGGGACTTAGATTAACTGACTGATTGATTTCAGTTCAAGCTGTCACAATGCATGTAGCATGCAAAGTTAGAGACAAGAAAGAAAAAGGAAATTTGAAAGAATGACAATAAGCAGAAATGTGAGGCAGAAGGTATAGTAACATGGAAGAACAATAGGGTTATTTTGGACATGGCGGACCTCAGAGAGTGAATACATATGCGCCACTGAGAATGATTTTAAGTCATATCACCAATTGTCTTCAGTCATTGCCACCTACCATCATGGGGACCCAAACCGGTCAGACAATCTACCCTTCCTTATGTAGCTTACTTAAATCAACTGATAAAGATTTCGTAGACTGATGCCATGTTTTCCTCTGACCACCACTAGCACTTTTCCAACCTAATTCTACGTCAGTTAACATTGCCTGTCATGGAAGACAATGGCTAGACATGCATAACAAGTCACCTATTCATCTTAATCAATAGCTACACACAACCTCCTTACTTAGCAGTAACTTGACACCGAACCTCATTATTACTCACTGTATTGTACCACCTAACATGGGAGATAGACTGCAGACAGCTATGCTCAAAGACAGTTAGCCTTTTCATATTTTCCATTTTCAATTGCCACTGTCCCAAAGCCATAAAGAAGAACGGAGTGAACTGCTGAGCAGTAAACATGCCCCTTCATCGAAAAGCGGTTATCGCGTATACACCGGAGATGATGTAGGTTGATGAATGTCACACGAGCGTTTTGTATCCATGCCGAGATTTTGTTAGCGGCCAGTCATCTGGGGTTGATGTAAATTCTCAAATAAGTGAAGTGGTCTATATGCTCCACTAATACGCTGTCTATCTCCAAGCTAGTCCAATTCTGTGAATTCATCTTACGTTTGACAGCAGCAAACAGAATGCGAAGCTCTAGAAGGTCACTAATTAAGGTGTTCACAATACTCTAAATTTTCAATTGTTGGTTTTGTAGGGATTTTTTGTTTGATTGGATGGAGGATTTCATCATGAGCTGACATCAGTTAGAGAATCATTGGAAAACCATCAGTGAGTACTGGACATCTGTTTCGTCCTAGTTTGTGAATCTTCAGCGGTGCGCACCCACCGAGCTTCGAACCCAAGACTTTCTGGTTACAAGGCCAGCGAGCTCGTAGACCATTGAGCCACTGGGACCCGATCCCATGGCTAGTCCATGAATTCTAACTTCTCCCAATTCACGACAGGGTGCGACTGTTTCGCAATGTCTTCTTCGATGAGTTACTGTCTTGAAATGGCAGAAGTTAGAATTCAAGAATCATTGGATTGTTTCCCAGTGGCTCAATGGTCAACGAGCTCGCCTTGTAACCAGAAGGTCCTGAGTTCGAACCCCGATGGATGCGTACTGATGAAGATTCCCAAACTAGACTGACGAAACAGCTATCCAGTACTCCAGTGATGGTTTTCTAATAGTTGTCTAACCAATGATGTCAGCTCATGATGAAATCCTCCATGCAATCAAACAAAATCCTTACAAAACCATTACTTGGAAATCTAACCTGTTTCATCTTTTGCTTCAATAGAAGATGTAACCGCTGAGTTATTCTAGTCTACAATTGACTTCCTGTAGATTTTTAATGGATATATATCAATTGGTCACTGGGTATAACCTCTGCCGTGTATCTAGTCCTACTTTTTGATGCTGTTTGGATTCTACTACTCCTGCTGATGAGTGCCAATTAGCACGAAACCTAGGTCGAGCAAGGCTTCCTGTGGCAGATTGCCTTCAGCCATCTAATATCATCAAATCAGTGTGCACCGTGATGATGAACTACTTAGAATGGAGGCCACATTGCAAACCTGACTGATAGAATTCAGTCTGCGTCGAAGAAAGGACTAGACACACATCGCACTAGTTACTGACTAGAGTCCAATCAAAAACTGTACAGTATATATTTCACCTTTTAACTAATTACCAAGGATACAATTTATCATTTGACTTCAAATATGCTAGAAGACTCAGATTGTTGAGAATGCCCTGAGAGAAGAAAACTGGCATTAATTTTTACCCTGTAAAGAAAAAATCGATATATATATATATATTCAAAAAAGAGAAACAAAAGAAATTTTAGATAACACTTTCTTTACTCACTTGAATAAATTCATCATTCGCTTGCATCAGTGTTTCAATTTCATCGCGTGAACGTGGAAAATGACCAATTGGAAAGCCATCAACTAATTCTGGATAATCCATATCACTATGAGCATCAATATGAACCTAGCAAAAAAAGACAAACAAAAAACATAAAGCTTTCGATTATATAAGAGTTACTGAACAGGAATAATAATGATAATTTAATAGTGTGGGAGTGAACAATGTGAGTTTAACATTTATATTATCCTGTTTTAAACTGTATTCAGCACGTCATTTAAACAATGACTTATGTTGTGTACAATATGAATCTATTGATAAAACTAATCTTCGCCATCAGTCGACTGGGAATAAAACACTAGTTGTAGAATACAACATTCTCTGAAGTATGATGAAGGCTGGTTTCAAAAACAGCATGTGAGCACACGGTATATTGTTTTTATTCTCTTCAGTTCCGAGTCGAACGCAGGGCTTCAAACTTGAGCTTTTAAGTTTCAGTAGGCGGCGATTTGGGATGAGGTTGCTAGCTTCACAGCCAACGCTTTCTTTTCACCGACCTTATTACCGACTTAGAGAGGCTTAGTAGTGCGTCAACTGGGGATCGAACTGAGGACCACGTATGTGGTCGGGGAGCGTTCTATCATTGAACCACTGACGTATACTGTTACAGTAGGAGTAGCATAATTATACAAGTGATACTATATACCTAGCAAATTGCTAATTACTGTTTTAAAAAGTTAATTTGTGGGAATTTGATTCTTTTAAACTTTGGCGACGAATTTTCTTCGTTTAGAGAACAATTGAAAAAAGACAAGAAAAGAAGGCGTTCAGCGAAGAGACTCTTTTCGGCGAATTCATTCACTGAGCTGTACAATCGCATATTTATACAATTTTGTTTGTGTGTGTGTACATTAGATTTATAAAGTTTAGATAATTATGTTTTGGCTTGGAAACAAACGTTAAGATGGAAAATAAAATAGAATTGATTAAGTGAGTAGAATTCAGATTAAGTCAGGTTGGCAACAGTGTTAGTGAGTGGTGTTTAAAATCAAATAAGGGTGGGGTTAGAGAATAATACAGTTGAAAATAAGTAAGTTAATCGGATGACGTAACGCAGTTGACTAGAAATTGGACGTGGATCAAGTTAGTAACATTGTTAATGAGGGTAGAGATTACAAAGGGGTGGGGTAGAGAATAATATAAGTGAAGATGTGATATAATAAAATGCGAGACAAAATAATACAATTAGTAAGACTGAAATTAAGAAAGATTACGTCCATTGTAGATTTAATGAATGAACGAATTTCTTTTGTATGCAGAGCTCAGGATTTAGCAGATGAATTGCCATTGCTTCTGCGATGTGGAGAAGTTTGATCCGTACATTTTTAGCAAGATTGCCTTGTATTCTGTAGATAACTTTGAAGTTTATTTCTGGTTTGACTTGGTGTCCAGAGTCGATCAAATGTTCAAGGATCGAGCTGCGGGGGCATCGATTTTCTCCTTTATAAAACCATGAAGGTAAATGTTCGTTGACGCGTTTGGATAGCGAACGCTGAGTACGCTGAGACAAGAAGTACTGAATAGCTTTTTTTGTCTTGGTTTGGGATTCTCCATCAGAAACTACTCATGGCTCTACCACAGTTTGAACTCAAAATCTTTAGATTAAGAAGCCGAGCTCGCTGACCAGCTAAACATTTAAGCCGGGATTCAATTACCCATGAATTCTTAATTCTGCACATTTGTCACTTTTAGCGCCAACTCTAGCTAATGTTGTCTTGGAGTATTTGTCCACACATCTGATCTGGTAGACTCTACTGGTTACAATTTTGTCCTATAGCTAGCCACTAGTGATCATCAGAATTCTAGTGAAAAGTCACGACACCAGTAGGTTCTACCATGTTTGTTGTGAGGCCAAATACTCGCAGGGGATATTGGCTAGCGTTGGTGCTAAAAGTCACAAGTGTTCAAAAGTTGGAAACAACAAGGCATTGAATTCTGCTCCAAGTACCTAAATCGTCAATGAGCTATGTGTGGAAATTTGAATGCCTCAGGTTCAATCCCTGGTTCGGCTGTGGTTACGTACCGACGAAGAGTCCTAAGTTAATACGAAACACAGGTGTCCAGTACTCCAGGCTTTTATTTTAATGTTCTTCGAACTGATATCAATCCGTAATTGAACTTGATGCTGATTATCGCGTTCAAGGTAATCTTCACAGAGTTATAGTTAACTGTTCTGCCTATTTTTTGGCATGCATAATAATTATGAATGAGAAACAAAATTAGAGGAAAATCGATAACTATTGATGCTTTTTTTTCTCAACTGTTGGAATAGGGCAATAAATATTCTCTGTCATTTTGATGAATGTCTTTCTTATTCAGCTGATTTTTTCAACTTTAATTTTCACAACTTAAGAGCAGAAAAGTGATAAACCATTATTCTAACTTTATGACACAAAAGTAATAATCGCTTATCCGAATAAATATTTCATACATTTTCTAGTTTTAAATACCTTTTTGGTTATCTGAAATTTAGATATGAGTTTATAAATGAATGCAGTGCCAATGTTGTTTTGAATTTCGCGTTGATTCACTAATCTGGACCTAAATGCTCGGTCTTTGTTAGCATGCAGCCACTTTACATGGGTACTTCGACAATGACTTGAGACAAACATTATTTCGATTTGGTGGACCGTGACTAGCAGTGCAATCCAGGATGATCATGTCCTATTTTGAAGTAGTCAGCTAGATTTTCCTACAATAAGTAATGTTCCCCCTGCGACTCTACCCCGCCAGGCCACTTCGCATTCTAGATCGCTCTACGTGTCATCATTCATAAAATAACACATTTTTATGCTCATATTTCAATCTTAATGTCTGTCTACATTATCTGATAATATGGTCACCGGTGAAATGAGCAAGAAGAAGGCAGCAAACCAGCCAAGACCTCTGCCAACACTCATTTCACCAGTGAAATAAATATCTCCTCGACAGGCCAATAGAAACAACCTTTCTGTTTAGTATTTTAAATTAACCATCACAATAAAATAATCAAAAGTTCAATTATTTTCTCTAAAAATTTAAACTACTTATAAGTAGAAGAAAATGTATCACATAATATTTTCAATTTTACGTATTAAAATATATCTGGAAATATCTTATGATATGACTTAATATGATTATGAGCAATAGTTTGTGCTCAAGAAGTCATCATTTAATGTTACTGTAAAACTCTGTGTGACTTATCAAAATAAAATCTTATCCATAATGGAGTTATACTCTACCACAGTGCTCAAGTTTAATAGTTATATCACATTAAAATTTGTCCTTTTTATAATTATATGCCGTCTGTTTACGATGAGATTCATAATACCATATAGTTTTTAGTAAATTAGAAACCCAGTTGCTAACTTTTTAAAAATCAGTATTTGTTTGAGTTGATCCAATAATCAATTTTTGTTCTGGTTGTGTTCTCTGAACTGGTTGATTTCTTTGAGAAGCATTTTTCGTCTCCCTTATAGACAACATATTCAGTACATGATTTAGCATGGAATGAACTTATTGGAATACTCCATGAATGACTGATATAATCGTATCTTCTGATATCTATCGTCGTGACTGGTTGTTAATTTACGTCTCTATTGATTATTTTTATTGACTTGAAGTTTGAACTTTCCTGTCATGTGATTTATTTTTTTATTAGTTGGTGAATTTAGTCTATAGGAATCGTGTGTTTGTTAATCACTGATTCATCAGAGTAAGTGCCAGGCTTCTAGAAATTCCCTGGCAGTTTTTGGTGTCAGTCCATAATTGTCTGTGTTCATCGATATGAAGGACACAAATTTGATTAGGAAAAGCTAGAGATTTTAAACAGTGGAAACACAAGAAAATGTAAGGGGATTTTTAGAAGCCTGGTAATCACTCAGGTGAAGCAGCGATTAACAATCACACATTACTATAGACCAGATTTTCCCAAATAATAAGGGATAAGCCACATAACAAAAAGGCTTAAATTCTAAGTCAATATAGATTTAAATTAACAACCAATCACAACAGATTTTGGTGAGAGATACAGTTATATCATTCATAACGAGAATTCAAATGAGTTCACTCCATATAGGGGTTTTGAGCTGAAGATGTTGTCTATGAAGACAAGCAAACCTCCGCAATCGAATCAACCAGCTTAGAGAACATAATCATCAAATTAAAATCATCCAACTGAGCTAAAAACATTTTCTCCATTAATAAGCGTTTTGTATTATGTATGGAACTCTTATGATTTCTCATGAATTTGTTCAGTCTGAAGTAAAGGAAACAAATTGACAATTTGCAATTTTCGCAGCTTGAGTGGTGAACTCTCTCTGTGGTTTCCTTTGGGAACCAAGTTATTCTGATCACAGTATGTGATCTGATTGATAATAATAACAACAGCACCTCTATTCTGGACAGTATTTATAAAATGTACAAAATTTTCAGAGGAGTTGATTGCATGATATTTCCCTTTCGTACAATGTCTTAAAGTAAAATATTAACTGACAGGATATACCGTGTGTGACACGATGGTCTCTGAGCTGAAGTACAAACCAAACAAAATCTGCTATGCCTCCTTGAAGAAATCTACGATATCTAGTTGAAAGCCAACTGTAAGAAGTTCAGAAGTATATTTTGAGACCCAAGAACTTAACTGAAGAACAGTTATCTCATGTTTTGGAAAATGATGCCATCTACAACCAGACCTTTCCTCGAGTTTAGTAGGAACTTGCGAAACAGAAGCTCGTAAACATTTTAATACGCACAGGAGTAGATAATACCACTGGAGGTCATATCCTAATCGATTAAAACAAACCAAACGAGAGAAAATATATGCAACAGAGAGAGAAATGGAAGTTTTTGGTAGCTCAAGTTTTAAGTAGGCCGCCATAAATAGTAATCAAGAAAAAGAAGTACCAATGCATGATGATATACACAATCGAGTGATTTCAATGAAAACTTGGATGCCACTCACATCATCCAGTAGTGCTTAGTAGCCAAATCAAGGTGATTTAAACACCAGACAGCTGTTTCTCTCGTTTGAAGTCGGACTCATCAGAGGTGTACGTGGTTTGTCCCAGCTGAGAGAGCCAAATCAG